TTTCTAAATAATAAGCTATCTTATGTAAGGTAATGAAAACACATGAAACAATCGTTGTCTTAGATACCTTGAAAAAACATTTTTTAAATTATTACATAAGCAGCAATTTTATTGTTGTTACCTTTTTGGGCAACATTTTAAATAATTGTTGTCTTATGTAAAAAAATGTCTACATTTTACATATTGTTGTCTTACATAATCTAAAGCAACACTTTTTAAACCGTTGCATTGTCATATAGTATAGATTGTTCAAGATCTAGGTAACAAACAAGTATTGTTGCCTTTTACTACAAAAGGCAACATTTGTCATTTTGTTGCAATTTTGTCCGTTGCCTATTCTCATTTTTTTTGTAGTGTGAAGTTGAAATTCAACTTGGCAAGAAAATAAAAGCGCTTCGATCAGATCGAGGTGGCGAGTATTTGAGCCATGAATTCGACGATCACTTGAAAGAAAATGGTATTCTTTCAGAGTTGACACCTCCCGGAACTCCACAATGGAACGGAGTATCCGAACGGAGGAATCGAACCTTGTTAGACATGGTTCGATCAATGATGGGTCTTAATGAACTGTTGACATTGGTCAGAGTCAAACCGACAATGTAAATGCTCAACTTATCACCCTGCGTAGGTCGTAACGGCCAAGATCTCAACTAGAAAGATACCTTGGTATTGTCTTAACCGAAGATCAAGACATCCTAGTTATGGATGGTGATGACCCAGCGACATACAAACAAGCTATGACGAGCCCTGACTCTGCTAAATGGCAAGAGGCCATGAAATCCGAGATGGATTCCATGTCTGAATATCAAGTCTGGGACTTGGTTAATTTATCCAAAGGTTATACACCTATCGGTTGCAAATGGATTTTCAAATTGAAAATAGACAAAGATGGAAATGTATCTATATACAAAGCTAGACTGTTGGCAAAAGGTTACAGGCAAATTCACGGAGTTGATGATGATGAAACCTTTTCACCAGTTGCAATGCTTAAGTCCGTCCGGATAATCTTAGCAATTGCTGCATATTACGACTATTAAATATGGCAAATGGATGTCAAAACCGCCTTCCTTAATGGGATTTTGGAAGAAACTGTGTATATGACACATCCGGAAGGTTTTGTTAATCCAAGCAATGCTGGGAAGGTATGCAAGCTTAAGAAGTCCATTTATGGACTAAAGTAGGCATGCAGAAGTTGGAATCTGCGATTCAATGAAGCCTTTAGTAAGTTTGGTTTTATCAAGAATCTAGATGAGTCTTTTGTCTACAAGAAGGTCAGTGGGAGTGCCATCGCATTCCTTGTCCTATATGTCGATGACATATTACTCTTTGGAAACAACACTAAACTATTAGAGTCCGTAAAGGGCTGATTGGGAAAGTGTTTTTCAATGAAGGACTTAGGAAAGGCACAGTACATATTAGGCATCAAGATCTATAGGGATAGATCTAAGAGGATCATTAGATTGAGCCAAAGTACTTACATAGATAAGGTACTGGCACGATTCAACATGGAAGGGGCCAAGAGAGGGCACCTACCCATGTCCCATGGCATAACTCTCAGCAAGAAACAGTGTCCACAGACACCTGATGACCGAGAGAGAATGAGTCAGATTCCATATGCTTCGCTTATTGGATCGATCATGTATGCCATGATATGTACTAAGCCGGATGTATCGTATGCCTTGAGTGATACGAGCCGATACCAGTCAGACCTAGGAGAGGCGCATTGGACTGCGGCCAAGAATATCCTAAAGTACCTGAAAAGGAACAAGGATAAGTTCCTGGTTTATGGTGGCTGTAATGAGTTGGTTGTTGAAGGTTATACTGACGCGAGCTTCCAGACTGATAGAGACGAATCCAAGTCGCAGTCGGGGTACATATTCTGCCTCAATGGAGGAGCGTTTAGTTGGAAGAGTGCTAAGAAGAGCACCACTGCAGATTTTACAACTGAAGCCGAATACTTGGCAGCTTCGGAAGCAGCTAAGGAGGCAATTTGGATTCTTAAGTTCATTGGTGAACTTGGTGTTGTACCCTCGATCAAGGGTCCAATAGATCTCTAGCGTGATAACAATGGAGCTATTGCTAAGGCCAGGGAGCAAAGGGAACACCAGAAGGTCAATTATGTCAAGCGGCGATTTCACATGATATGGGAATGGAAATCTGAAGGTGAAATCAGAATTTGTAAGATTGGAACGGACGACAACGTACCCAATCCTCTGACTAAACCTTTGTCTCAAGTGAAGCACAACAAGCACGTTAAACAATGGGAATCAAGCACATTGGAGATTGGCTTTGATTTCCCTGTGTAGATGTTTTAATTAAACTCGATGCCTTAATGTAAAACACTATGTTGAACCATTCAGTTTTGGAGAAATTAAATTTTTGCAAATTTATGATTACTCTATATCTATTTAATTATGGTTTAGAATTAAATAATAAGTCCATTCGATTTTGAAAATATTCAAAACAGGGTATTAAGACCATGTCTTGGATAAAGAAACACCTATTAAGTGAACATTAAATATTTTAATCGAAAATTGTCCCTAATTGAGGTCATTTAAACGATGGACGATTAACGACCACTTGAGATTAATTAGTGTGTAGTATGATTTTTAGCACCGTTTCTTGTGCTACAAGGACATGATAGTCATAAATCATTTGCACAGTTACTGGTTTGGAACTATACCGGATAGACCTATGAGAATACTTTAAGAGATATCAAAGCGTCATAAGTATATTTCTCATTATTGCTATCAGAACCTTTTTTCCTCGACCATGAGTATTGTAAGTTCTCTTGTTTGAGTACTAGTCATTTTGATGTTGTCAAACGTCTGCCGTAAATAGGGATTATAACGACAACACTCAGGCGACTAGGTCCTCTTAGTAAGGGAAGCTTACAGTACAAGATTGGGAATGTCCCCTTATTAACAATACGGAACATGTCTTTGTTGTTTACAAGGCCTCTCGATGAGCGAGACTGTGAAAATGCATGGCCGTGCACAGATGGATTTTAGAAATCATCTGTTTATTGACAGTCGAGCTCGGGAATCGAGAAACACTTCTGGACGTAATAAGAATAACGAAGAATCTTACCTTATAGTTCATGAAGAGACGTTAGGCGACATAGGAAAAGGGCTATACACAATTTGCACACTTGTCCGGAAGGACAAGTGGGAGATTGAAAGGAATGGTGTCCTTCCAACAAGTGTATTATTCCGATAGAGGGTTCAGAATTATTGGATAGCTAATTCTTCAGTAAGGTCAAGTGATCGGAATACCTAGGTGGAGGCTGCTTACAATCAGTAATATTAATGTACAATTAATATTACAGCTTAATCTTAACTGAACCCTTCGGGTCGAACCCAATCGAACAACCGATCAGAGACGACAAATCAATCCGAAGGATGTAATGAGTCGTCAGAGTTTTACGAACAAAGACGTCGGATATCGAGCTTAGAGCGTCGAGACCGAGTGTCGCAATTCGAGTCGAATTTAGAATTCGACGAGACGCGAAATAAATCAAGTTACAAGTTCAAGCCTAGCCGTAGCCTCACATTGGCCTAGCCATGTGAATGCTAGGCTAGGCAAGACCCATCGCAATGCTAGCCGCAAGCCTAGCATGCTAGGCGTGCTAGGCCCATGCATGCTAGCTAGCCACCGCAAGCATCGTAGCCTTGCGTGTGTACTAGCACGCCATGCGCCCAAGCATCGCAAGGCTAGGCCTTGCTAGCATGCTAGGCGCTAGCGCTAGGCATGGCCTAGCATTGCTCGCAGCCACTCACCATTGCAGCCATGCACCATCGCACAGCACCATGCTAGGCGTGGTGCGCTATGTATGATGCTAGGCTTTGGCACGCACCAGCCCCAAGCATCGCTGCACAGCATGCATGCTAGGCATCGCATGGCAGCAGCTCTGTGCATCGCATATCGCAAGCACATCGCACCAGCCAGCAGCGTGCTGGGCTGTGCGTGTGGTGCGTGTGCCTCGCATAGCAGTGCCTAGCAAGCTGCTCGCAATGCCTCGTATAGCAGCAGCGCCCAGCAAGCGTGGCTCGCTAGCTGCACACATGCTCTAGCTAGCTGGTTTGCTAAGTGGGACCAAGGGTTGTGGGCATTGCCTTGGGCACCAAGGCTATGCCCCCCCTCCCCCTGGAAATGGTCCTCACCTAATCTCTCTTCCTCTTTGTACCACTTGTAACTTATTAATTGCATTGCAATTTCATTTTTGTTTTAATTAAAATAAAATGGGAACATTGCAAATCTCCCACATTGATTTAGAGTGGGAATTCAAGGTTCATTTCCCTATAAATACCAAGGTTTTGGGATTTGGGAAGAACACTTGAGTGGAACTAAAAAGGCATCTCCTTAAGAAAAGTAAGAAAACCTTAAGTTCGTAAAACTCTAGTTTTTATTGGTCGGGTCCCGACTAACCTTCGGGACTTGGATCGTTCGGGTCGGGTTCGTGGGTACGAGCCGTCGGAGACCTTCGCATTTGCGGGGTTCAAGTAAGAGCTCGGGATTCGAGCGAAGCACGCGCCAAGGGTAAGAATGTCCTTTTTCTCTCTCTCTTATTTGTTGTTTAATTAGTGATTGTATGCTTAGTCGCTTTAATTAGTGTGCGGGTCTTGGGTGGGTTTCCCTTCCACGTAGATTCGGACTCTACAAACCCAAACAAGTCTTGTCTTGATGCGAGTGCTGGAGGACCCATTATGAACAAAACCAAAGAGGAATTTATGGATATTATTGAAGATGTAGTGAGGCACTACATGGATTAGCAAGCTGGTGAGAGGGAGTCAACAAGCAAGAGTAGCTCTTCGGTGTACTCGGTTGATCATCTAAATACCATCAACAATTTGTCTTCACAAATAACAAGCCTAGGGAAAGAGATGTCTTCGATCAAGGAAAAATTGGAGAGTTCTACCTCCCAAGCTTCAAATCTTCCCTCCCAATTTAAGGGGAGAGGTACATCTTCTAACTCTACTCCTCTTCCTTCCTCTAATAACATGCGTAGTGGATGCTTGGTTTACGATGTATGTGGTTCATATGAGCATAATTCTTCTATGTGCCCTCATCCATTTATGGATAAATGTGATGATTTTGAGGGTTATGTGAATGAGCATGTGAACTTTGAGCCTAACAATAATGGATCAAGGTTTGATAATCAGAAAGGCCAAGGGAATAGGAATTATCACAACCAAGGCAATTTTGACGACTATAACCAAGGTAGTGGTTATAGGAACCAAGGAAACCAAGGTTTCCAGGGTAACTATAACAACCAAGGTTATAGTGGCCAAAATTAAAGCCAAGGCTATGGTCATCATAATCAAGGTTATGGTAACCATAATCAAAGCTATGGAGAAAATCAAAATAGCGGTAATTGGAACAATCAAAATAGGGGAAACTTTCAAAATAATGCTCATAGGCGTCCTCTACCCGTTTTTGTTCCAAATACCCTAGGTCAAGGTGATAATTTTTATGCTCAACCTTCTTCTTCTAAGTCTAATTTGGAGGAAATCATTGAAATTCAAACCAAATTGTTGAACACTTACATATCGGTTAGTGATAAGAAATTTAATGAAATGATGACCCAAAATAAGATGTTAGAGAACCAAATTTCTAAATTAGCTAGTGCTTTGAAAGACAATGCAAGACCTTCTTCTTTACCTTCCCAAGCTCTTGACCCCAACAAACCGGTTTATTCTATCACCACTAAAAGTGGCAAAGTGCTAGAGGAGAGAGTTTCTAAGAGGAGTCAAGAGAAGGAAAAGGCGAGTGATTCATTTGATGATGATGAGCATGATGTGTCTAGTAAGAAGAGTGAGAGTTCTAATGAGAAGGCCAAGGAGAAAGAGAGAATGCAAGATGAGGTTATCAAACCCAAACTACTCTACCCCCAAAAGTTCATGTGGCACAAGTTGGATGAACAACTCGGGAAATTCATCGAGATGCTTAAGCAAATTCATCTTTCTATTCCTTTCACCGATGTTTTGCAACAAATGCCAAACTATTTTAAGTTCCTTAAGGAAATCTTGAGTGGCAAGAGAGAGTGCAATGTGGTTGATTTGGTGAGTGTTGGGGAATGTTGTAGTGCTCTTATCCATAATAACCTACCCCCAAAGATGAAAGACCCAAGGAATTTCTCCATCCCTTGCAATATTAATGGAAAATTGTTCCAAAATTCTCTTTGTGATCTTGGTGCTTGTGTTAGCATCATGCCATATTTCGTCTTTAAGAAGCTTAGGTTAGGTGAGCTCCTCCCAACCAACATGACCCTATAATTGGCCGACCGTTTTATTAAGTTCCCCAAGGGTAGAGTTGAGGATGTCCCCTCAAGATAGGAGAGTTCACTATCCCCGTTGACTTCATTGTGCTAGAGATTACGGAAGATGACAATATTCCTATCATTTTAGGGAGACCATTCTTAGCCACTTCGGGGGCTTTGATTGATGTGAAGGGTGGCCTTATTACTTTGTGTTGGTAATAATAAGCAAGATTTAAACTCAAGTCGATGTATGAGTCTCTATCCTATGTGTAAGGAATTATGTGAATTAATTCATTTTCCTTGAAGTATGATGCTTGCATGTTTGTGTTTTCTACTAATGATATGAATGTAGCTTGTGATGATACTCCTAAATGTGTTGAAATCAAGATTGTTAGTGAAGAAGACAAGGAGTCCTGAAAGATTGAGAGTGAGTTTGAAATGCCTTCTTGGTTTGAGCTTTCTTTGAAGGATGACGAGAATAGTATTTCATGTGTTGGTCATGTGGAGCTCAAAACTCCAAGGAAGAAGAAATCAAGGAAGAAAAAGAGAGTTCCCAAGAAAAAGAAAGAGAAGTTAAAGAATAACAAGTTTGATCCGGTTTCTATGATTCAAGATGATATGTCTCATGTTGTGATTTTTCCCAAGCTTAGCAATGACTTTACCTTTTCCACCACTTTGGACAAGGTGGCCTTCTTTGACCCTCCATGATTTGGAGGGCGGGTCAAGCTAGGGACCTTAAACTAGCACTTCTCGGGAGGCAACCCGACCCTCTAAATTTTCTTTTCTCATTACTTGATTTCATTTTGAAGTTACTAATATGTGTTTTGAGTATAGTTTGTTTTCATTTGTTTTCCTTATCTTGTCTTGTAGATCAAGTTTAGCTTTCTTGGAGCTACGTGGAGGTGTGAACTCCCCTTTGCTTCTTTTTTTTTCTTAGCTTGGATCGCTTGGTGAGATCTTTCTATTTTCCCTTCTTTTATTTTCTTTGATTGGTTGCTTTAGGATAGTTTTAGCTTAGGAAGAGTTGAACGGTTCGAGGACGCATGCTATTAACACCTAGTGTGTTTGGAATCGTTGACATTGTGGTCGAACGATCATTGTTTGTCGACTAGGATTTATTACTTGCATATGTTTATGTCCTTTTAGCTTCTCATTCCTTTATTTCTCCTTTTTTCTTTTAAACAAGCTTATTCAAGGCAAGTTTTGAAAAATGTGTTTTTCTATCACTCTTTGTTTGGACAATTAACATTGGTCTTATGTATTTGAATGATTTCCTTCTTTGTGGTACATGTGTGCATGATTTGAGAGTGTTAGTGGTTGATTTATGCTAAGGTAGCCAGTCTAAGAACTTTAGGGTCCATGAAGCCTTAGTTCATTGAAAGTGGTAAGATGATGTTTCTTTTCATAGTGGATTTGATACCTTTGGGTTAGTATTTGTTTCAAAAGATCCCTTGAGAGGTATATTGTTCAAGCCTTCATCATCTTTGTTGAGCGGCATTTTGGATCCTTGGCTATGAATGTTTTAATCTTTGGTTTGTCCACTAGCTCTCGAGATCGAGACTGAGCCACTTTAGGGGAGGAAAAAGGCTTTTTTCATTTTCTTTTGTGTTCCTTTTATTTAGTTACTTTCTTGTTTTTCTTTTACATTCACCCTCTTGCTACCGCTTTGAGCTTACTTCCATTTATTCGGGTACTAACCACATTACAAGCCTATCGATCTTTACCCTTAGTTTTGAAGCTTACTTTGGTTGGACGCTTGTTTTGACAATAGTTTGGATTTATGGCGGTTGAGTTCGAATGTATGGAAAGTTTGTGATATATATGCAAGAAGAACATGAAGTGTGAAATAAAGGGTGCATAATGTTTGATTTTTGAGTGTTATACCAAAAAAAAAAGAAAAATAATGAAGAGTAATGCACTATGAAAAAATGAAATATGAGCAAAACGAAAAAAAAGAGCATTTATAGTTCAATAAGTGTGAAATGTCATAAATTGCACCAATGAAATCTTTGTTATCATCGTTTTTCAAGTTTAAGCATTGAGGACAATGCTTTGCTTAATCTTGAGGGAGCGTTACTTTGCTTTTGAGAGTTAAAGTTTGGTGTATTTGTTGAATAAGCTTGGGGGAGATGGAATTTTTTTTTTGTTTGATAATTGGTGACCTCTTAAGTTTGTTTTGAGAGATGGCCACTCTTTCGCTTCACTTAGGAATTACCACCAAATTTTCAGATTTTTACCCACCTATACCTTAAGCCATGACATTACAACCTTGCAAAGTCCTTTAGACCTTAGAGGGTTGAGTCACAAGTTGATGGAGGGAGATGGTTTTCAAGCCTATAGAGAGGAATGTGAATAGCTAAGACGTCGGGATAACCTTCTCATGTTTTTCATTTCTTTATATTTTTCCGGTTCCTTCGAGGAATCATGAGGAGCTAACTCAAGGTTTCATTTGAAGCTAGTGGAGAGAACGCGGTAAGACTAGTAGGGACGAGGGTGGATTGAGTCTCCTATAGTTCTCTATGCTTAGCATGTTCTATGTTTCAATCAACCATTGACATCTTATAGCATGCATACATATATTGTCTAAGAAGTCTTTCAGTCATTGGCATTTTCTTCCTTTTCAATTGTCCAACTTAAGAGCTCTTTTTGTTATTGATTTCTTGATTTTTATTGCTTTTCCTTGACTTTAGTTCCTAGATTTATGGGTTAAATTCTTTGGAAACCCTTATGAGACCTCACTCGTCCTCATTGGCGACTTTGGGGTTTTTAGGGCTTGTTGTAGCTAAAAACAACCGTGATTCCTACGAAAGTGAGTTAGTGTATATTCTGGTCCCCTTTCTCTCCTTTTTCTTTATTTGAATAAGTCTTTCATCCAACTCCTACTTGCTTTTGTTTTTGCTCGAGGACGAGCAAAAGTTTAGCTTGGGGAGTTTGATGAGTGCCATTTATAACACTCAAATGGCATTATTTTGGGATGATTTTAGTTGCTTTTATATCTTTCTTTATGACTTAGCCCTTAGTTTTAGTCTCTTATACTCTAGTTGGTCTCATTCTCGTTATTTCTAACTTTTTCTTGTATTTTTCGTGGATTTTATGGTCTTTTCCCTTTTACTTGCTTGCCTTTCTTTATTTTTAGGTGTAAATTGAAGTCCAAGACCCTTGAAGATGCTCAAGGTGCAAAGTGAAAGCTTACTTATTGCTCACAAAGCAAGTGATAACTTACTCCAAGACTTGATGCTTGCGCCCTCATGCTGCGCTCACATGAAAATATGATGTTAAACCTACCGTCAACTCATTTTGGGACTTCCATCCCCAATGTTGATCAACAGGAGTGCACCTATTGCATTGAAGAATGCATGGAGGGAGTCCCTTGCTCCAGTGGCGCGGGCGCACATTCATCGGGCGCGGGCGCGCAAGATGCTGGCGCGGGCGCGCCACCTGATCTCTCTGTTCTATACCCCGTTTTTCACGACCGCGCATTCTGTAGAGAGGGCGCGCCTGTACGGGTTTCTTTTGGACGTCCACTTTAATTCTTCTTAGTTAGTTATTCTAGAGAGAGTTAATTTTGGATTGATATTTTTGGGGAGGCTAGGAGGCTAGAGAGAGAAGTTTTTGGAGTTAGTTTTGGAGATCTTAGATGTTAGAGAGAGAAACTCTTGGATTTTGATTTGTACTTCAACATTTGCTTCAATTAAGTTTGGATTTCCTTTAATCAATGATAATTAGTGAGATTTTCTTCCTTTAAATCCTCTCCATTGCTTGATTTTGCTTTTGATTCATGAATGATTGTTTGATTTGTTGATCTTTTGGTTAATAGTTTGATTTATTTGAATTTCTTCTTGATTTAGTTTAAGATGATGATGTTTGTGATTTACTTAGTTTTGTTCTTCAATTTCAATATGTTCTTCAATTTCAATATGCATAGTGAGTAGACTCCTTGCTAGGGAGATGGTGAAGCATGCATGAATAATGGATTATTGCTAATTGATGGATTTTGATTGATTGAATGTTGTGATTAAATTGGTTGATAGAATTGTGCATGTGGTTGAATTGTTAAGGAGTGATCAACCTTGATTTTCAAGCTAGGTTGCACTGTGATTTCTAATGACACGAACCATTGATTTAGGGATTGCAATTATTGATTGAATTTGATTTGTGATTCTTCTTACTAGTCATTCATAGAGGAAACCTAGTTTGACTTCTAGGAGATAACCCTTTGAGTTTTCTTGATTGCAATTACTCCTCCTTTACAAAATTTGGTTGATTGATTTCCCCTCAATTGGCATAACCATCATGATTGTGTGTGGAGCCTAGTCCCTAGTGCTTTTGATATTGAATTCCCTCTTTAGTCTAGTTGTTTGAGACCATAGTTAGTCATATTCAACATCCTTCTTATTCTTCAAAATAGCTTGACCTTAGGCTATAGTAACCTTTCTCCCATTCCTCGTGGCTCAATCCTTGATTTACCCTATACTTGGTTTAGGATTGGTCGAGTGTTTATAAATTTTGTTGATATGGTTTTAAGCACTTAACGACGTGTTTAAACCTAATGTCAAGAGGGAGAAGACTACCCATGCTATGAATTCCCATAACTACTTGTCATGAATGGAATACGCCAGCCTGGGTTCGAAATCTTCCTGGATTGCAACTTTTTAGACGAGATTCCAGCTCCTACTTACAAGCAACGAGCACCTCCTTGCTTTGACTTTAACGTCATGGGTCTCCTCTTTGGATACTTGAAAAATGAGCCTAAACGTGTCGACAACAACTCCGTGCTTATACAAACTGCGCTACAAAGTGAAAACTTTGACCCCTCCAAGTTCATCAATCCATCAGAAGGGCTACTCAAGGGATGGCGCAAGACCATGAAGGTGAATACACTAAGTGGAAGTAAGATATCCATAACCAAGGGAGAAGGACCTATGTTTGATGAATCCGAGTCGTCTGAGTCTTAGTCTGGGTCTGAGTTTGAGTCATCTATTGTTGAGTCTTCTAATTCCTTAGTAGTTGCACCTCCATCTTTCTCGCCTAGTTTAACACCTACCCCTAGAATAGTTAGTAGCCAGGTCCTGGCAGACCTTTCTCTTTTTTATGTAAATATTCAAGAATTTAATAATATGTCTTCTTCCTCTTACTCCTCGTGTTATTCCCTTACCCAAGATGACGAGCATTGCTTTGCCATTAATGAAAATGACAAAGAAATAATTAAAGCAATGGAAGCACTTGAGAATAAAACGACAATAATTGAGGAAACTGAAACACGTTAAAATTACATATGTTTAGACACATTTATGATACCGCTAAAAGGGCTAAGACCATCAAGTAGGATCAAACCTACTTGTGGCATTGTCGTCTTGGCCACATTAACGTCAAACACATCAAGAAACTTCTTCAAGAAAGGTGCTCGTGACTCATTC